TTCTGAATTTTCAAGCATGCTCTCCCATTTTTCAAGCCAGGGTTTGCTTCTCTGAAAGCAGTAGTAGGCTTGGCGGTGCTTGGTCAAGAAGCGTTTCCCAACCTGGAGTTGTTGGGAGTGGACTGAGTACCTCAAATCCTATTCCTTTCCATCTTCCCATATACCTATACCAGCAAACTAGGCAATTTCAAGGCCTGCTCTTGGGCACTGTAACTTCATCATGCTGCTACGTTGTCAATATAATCACTAGATTGGTCAAGGCTTACTAGCACTCTGCCAAGTAATCATAACCTGGGCAGGGTTCAGGACTCCATAGGGGTCAGGCATCATTCCCAATACTGAGTATGAAGGCAGCTACCTGGTTTTGGGGCATGAAAGAGTTCATTTCTGTGGTCAGTCTGGGCCTATTGGCCTCAGGAAAAGTGATCAGGCCCCTGTCCTTTGTTGACTATTGTAGATATAGTCTGAGATTCCTGACCTTGGTCAGCTTGTGGTTGTGTGGGACAGGCCATCAGGACTCTTCCTTCCTCAGAACATAGCCTAGGGCCTGTGCTGTCGTGCCTCTCCGTGCTCCTGCAACCCTCTTACACATCAGCATCCTCTTTGTTTCAAGCCAGCCTGTTGCCTGAGGCATCCTCCTACACTTTCTGCTGGTGATACTCAGAGCCTCCTCTGTAAATCAAACAGTGCCAAGGCACAGGCAGGAACCTGTAATAGTTCACCCTGTTAATCTATCAGCACAGTCTCTGGCAATTTTGGCCAAGGCCAACTAGCATGGATGTAGCCACGTGGAGTCAAGGCATGCCAGCTGGCCAAGGACAAAGGCAGGTCTTTGGTCTGCTTTGTTTAACAATATAGACAGAACCTCTGACTCCATAATCCTATCTCTGAACATTTCTGCTGCAGTCCTTGCTGAGACTGCTGAGCGGCCTTTGACATCCACATGAAGCATCTTTGTCCGTGGCACTTAGGGTGGTGGGGTTTTTTTATAGTAGGAGCATCTCCTTTTCTCCCTCCTAGTGGCATCCTGGGGCTCTCTCCAAAGGTTATTTGACCACATTTCTGGAGCCGATGGCTTTGGCTCCTTAAAAATGTGCTTTGGCGCAGGGACAGCAGTGACTATGCCCCGCGCAGTTTGTGTGCTACTGCGACATACGTAGTAAATAAGCGTGAGGGTAATTATACCAACAGGAATTCTGGGAACCCTGCCAGAACAGAGGGGACAGCCAATCCTTTGTGCATTTAAAGAAAATCGCCCCGAATACCCCTCCCAACCCCAAATTAGTTCTATCTCTTGAAGCCATGATGGGACTTAGAACTAAAAATACATACATACACACAAATACACACACTCATATATAAAAATAGCCAGCATTCAAAAAAATAAAAAGGCCAAAGTTAGGCTCCTGTATCCAAAATTAAGCTCTTAAATAAATAAATTAGCCTGATTTTCAGAAGCACAGAGCAGTGAATGGCTTTCACTGACATAAGAGGAAGCATCGTGTTGCTAAAGATTGAAGATCAGGCCTGAATATGGATTTGAAAGTCTAATTATAGACTCCTATTTGCTACCAGCTTGACCGAGAACAACAAATTTCAGATGAAATTACATTGATTTTTTTTTTTCCTCAGAGTTTGTCTACACTTAAGCAGTGTTAGTAAAGGTAGGAAAAAGCCCTCAAACAAGTAAATAGAATACCACAAAGAAGAAACAGATATACTGGAATAAAACTGCTTACACTGGCGCTGTACATTTGTGTTTGGAAAAAGGGTTAAGCATGACCAATGTTACAGCTGAGTGAAATTTTATATTGATTAATTAGACAGGTATTTATTAGTTGTTGAAAGCCTACCAGGTAGAAAGACTGCTTTTCACACTTACTGTCGCACTTTCTCTGCTGAAAACTCACAATCGACTGGCATCAAGGAAGAAAGGGTTTTTACTCCCTCCTTTCCTCTCTTTGTCGGACTTGGGTCTGAAGGATGCTAAAGAGAGAGCACCATATTTCTGCATGGGCTGAAAAGAGAGTGCAAAGGGACTCTCATTTCTGAGTTCATTTCCCTTCAGCTGCAAATGGTCCTTGCAGCTGTTTTGCTCCCGCGCTGTTCATTTGGGAAGCCGTGACCTTTTGCTGGCCAAAATTATGCCAAGAGATTCCCGAGGTCACAGTCCCATGTGGCAGTTGGATAGGGACAGATTTGTCCTTCTGGGTCTTCCAGTACAGATCAGATTGGGCAAGTCTGGGCTTTACGGTGTCAAGGAAGTATGTGGACCCTGGGTGGAGGACCATCAGCAGGCAGAGTGATACTCCACTCATGGGTTTGTGTTGTGGTGTTTAGAGGCTGGGGACAGCACTAAAAGATCTGGGTTCTTCTGCCAGAAGACTTTGGGAGAGCCCTTTCGATGCTCCATGACTCAGTTTCCCCATCTATGGAAGGGGCACAATACAGTTGACCTTTGCAAAAAGCTGTGGGCTCAACAGCCAAGAGAATTTGGTGTTACTGTCATTGCCGTTGTTCTGGCCATTGATGGAGACAGGACAGGGGCATTACATTTATCCAATGCATTTCTACATCCTTTTATGCGTGCTGCCTCCATGAATAGGTGGCATGTCCTCCCACTGTGGCCAGTGAGAAACTTTCATGCTTAAACTGTGTGGATGGTGGTGAATCCCTAGAGATCAAGGAGAAATCATTGCAGGACGTGGTGTCCCTTCTGTTAGTTTCTTAATCTTTTTGAGTGACTCAATGCCTTTGTTATAGTTTGGTTCCGCCAACCTGGAGCGCTCGGAAAAATAAAGACAGTCTTAAAAATAATCAAAAACTGGAGACAGCTGGTGGGGACAGCAATGTGGAAGAGTAGAGGTCTAGCAAATGTGAGCTGTGAGAAGGGACTGAAAGAAATCGGGTTTTTTTTAGTCTGGAGAAAGGAAGACTGAGGGTTTACATGGTAACTAGGTGCGAACAGGTAAAAGACTGCTGCAGGGTGAAAATGAATAAATTCTTCTCCTTTTCCATGGCTCGGATGATGAGAAATTAGTGGCTTAAACTTCAGAAGAGTAGTTTAGTTTTCATGTACCA